CCTCCCTCTCTCTACTTCTCTACTGTCCTGTGTCTGTCCTTCCTGCCTCCTTAGCCTTACAAGCTTCACCCAGCACTAATTTTTTCTCATTTCTGAGCGGTCCTTTCTGATTGCTGATGACCACCTGCTTTTGTCTGAATTGCTCTGTGGCCTCTTGGAGCATATGGTGGCCGCAGTTCATCTCTCTTTCAGAAGGCAGCATTTGTCCCTCCTTCTTGGCTCTCCTCCCTTTTCTAAGCTGGCCTGCCTGGGGTTTGTCACTTGTTTTCTGAGGTTGTCGGGGCTGTGTGGCATAGGGACCAGGGTGTGCCGTCTGGGTATGAAGCTTTCCGAATCAATAGGCAGAAGGTAGGCTGTGCAGATTTGCTGTTGGTTTAATTTGTCTGCTGGAAATCTCTGTGGTTTTTAGAGCTAGGGTAGGAGCGGGCACCTTGGTAGTTCATGGGGATAGCTGGAAGCTATTCCCAGAGGGTCACCTGGCGTGCTGGGCTGGGGAGCTGAGACCATGCCCGGCCGCATGGTGCCATCAGAAGCCAAGCTCACTGTCTCTTCCTGTGACTTAGTTTCCCTTTGGGCAACTTACAAGCCATGTGGCACTGAGAGGACTCCCTGCTATGTGGAGCCACAGCCCAGCATTCCCCTTGGAGACCTGAGTGGAAGAGGGTTTTAATCCAATGGGTGACCCCACATGTGACCCCACTGGGAGCCCAGTCCCCCAGCCACACGGATGCTTCTTGGTCCCTGCAGGAGCTCCTGGAAGTCTCTGGTCTGTGGTCAGCAGTTTCCCTCCTTCCTGGTGCTGGTAGGATTTCTCCATGGCATGATATACTTTTAGTCGTCAGTGAGACCTGGGAGGAGCAGTTGGGTCATACATGTTCTCACGGGGTCATATGAAACTGCAAGGCAGATAGTTTTCAACTTTCTACTTGTACTGAGATGGCTTTGAGTTGGCCAGATACATTAAAAGAAATAATGGTATCTTCACAAAATAGAAGGTCATTTTGCCCTAAAACTTTTAGAGGGAGGTAGGTGTGGCAGCACACGCCTGTAGTCCTGGCACTTAGGAGGCTGAGGTAGGAGACTTGATGAGAGTTCAAGGCCAACCTGGGCTACAGAGACAGACCCTGTCTCAGACAAACAAATGGAAGTTTGGAGATGAGCCATCTCGGCTCTCTCCAGCTCTCTGCTCCACTGTTACCAGCTTATGTGGCTCTTGTCCTAAAAGTTCAGTGTGGCTTCTAGAGCTCCAGCCATCACATCCACATCTGATATGCAAGATGGGACATATTGGATTGGATTTCCTGAGTGTTAAGTCTTGCTCTTTGTCCCCATCCCCCCTTTTTTGGGGGGATACCAGGAATCAAACTCTAGACCTTGCTCTTGCCAGGCAGGTACTATGTTGCTGAGCTATCTCTTCAGCCCTGTCCCTTTGTGTCTCTAAAACTGTTGTCACCCTACATACGCTATGGTAGATGTACTTACTCTATGGAACCACTTTTTAAAGATGTATTTGGTGCAGGGTCTCACTATGCAGCTCGGACTCATAGGAATCCTCCTGTTTTCAGCCTCCCCAGCTCTGGTATTATAGGCATGTGCCACCATGCCCAGACTCGGTGGCTGGTTCAGTGTGCCCGAGAGTGGGGCCGGCATGGCATGTGGTGCCGGGGATTGAACTCTAGTCCCTGCACTTGCCTAAGCAAGCGCTTAGTCTGCTGAGCTACCTCGTCGGTCCTTGGAACCACTTTTGACCTCCCCTCCTCCTGCCTTATAGGGACGGAGCTTGCCCCAGCTAGCCATTCTCCTGGGGCAGAGTTATCTTCCTCTCCAGTATCCAGACAGGGATGACAGAGCAATTAGAATTTCACCCATAGAAACCAAGGAGGGGACAGCACTGGGGTGCCTTGGTCCTGGCCTCACCAACTTGGTTCTCAATGGCCTCTCTGTCACATGTCACTGCTCTGGCTTATTTTCTCACTCTGTCTCTCCACAGTCTGCACCTCTCTTATCCTCTGTGAGGGAGGTAAGATGAGTACAGCCATACACCCACACTGTCTCGTGCAGTGTCTGGCGTTGCTCTCAGTGCAGGGACACTGGGGATGGCCTTTACAGCGACAGCACTTAGAGCTGACTGTACCACTGCCCAGATTCCTGTCTCAGAGACTTCTGTCATTTGCTTCATCATAAGGGTCTTTTCCAAAATGCTTCTATTTGGAAGAAAAGCCAAGGGCCGGGACCAAAGCGAGTTAGCATGTAATGTTTTCAACTAAACTTTAAAATGGAAAGCCTGGATTAGAAGTAGTACATCATAATTAATTCCCTACTAATAAGCACTAATTGTGCCTCCTTGCAGCAGTTTTGTGGCATTTGGGGAAAGAGTGTGGCCCTGCAGATGGTAGTGGACTTTCTCTTCCCAGGTGGACATGGAAGCCTTCCTCACCCTCACTGACGGCGACCTACAGGAACTGGGCATCAAGACAGATGGGTCCCGGCAGCAGATCCTGGCAGCCATCTCTGAACTGAACGCAGGCAAGGTATCAGTTCAAAACCTTCTTTCTTCAGACAGCTGAGAGCATCACGAGTGCCCTAGGCCCTTTGTGTGGTCTCCTTTCAGCCCCTGTGTGACCTTTAAGGGAGGCCGGCCCTGCTTCCACACTTTCTGTGACCCAGCTCACAAGGATGCCCCCTAGGATTCAACCCACAGAGCAGGTGTCGCCCTCAGGAGCTCTGAGTCCGGCTGGCAGGGTTGGAATCCCAGGCCAAGACAGGCGCTCCCCTCAGCCTCGCTGTCTTCCCTATAGGGGTGATGGTGCTGTTTCCAGGACCATAGTGCCTAGAAGGGCCCTGAGCCCCCAGAGCTGTCAATCACCATCGATGATATTGGCATCCTATGATATGGTCTAACATGAAATTTTTATTTCATCAGCTTTAGCACTTGAGTTCAGCGGCGCTCCACCCCCACCCCCACCACAAAGTTCACATGTCCAATACAAGAGCCAAATTACAAACTTGAACGGCAGATCCTCACTTACTCTGCAGACACTGGCTGTGGTTGCTGCTGCTGCTCAGACTCTTTTGCCCTTGCTGCTCCCCCAACGCAGACTGGATCTTTCTGTGTCTCCTTCCAGTGGTGACAGATGGCACTCGTTCACCTGTTGTGTCCTCACACTCTGACTTACAGCTGCCCACTTGGTGGAGAAGAGCAGCATGTCTGGGATCTTGCAGTTATATATAACTATGACCATTAGGGACACTCCTGCCTCATCCCCTTTTTGTCTCATGTTTTGTGGCTGTTGGTCCGTGGGCTGTGTTTTGCACTATGAGGTTATGTCAGAGTGCATGACCAGCTTCGTGGTTCATCCTGCACATTGGCAGGTTATACACAGAAATCCTGAACAGACATGCAGTACCAGCAGCAAATAAGTATTTATGTAGCATTGTATGTATCATTGACAAATGACTTTGCATGCATTTCCCCAGCAGGCCTGGAGCGGAGTCCCCAGGTGGGGAGGACCTCCCTGCCCTGCCAGGATGGGAGGGTGGGTGTTTCTGTTTCTGTCATCACCATCACAGCCTGTTCACAAACTACGAGGTGATCCTTCCGAGTGATACAGCTAGCATTGCTCCAGCTGGGGCCAGGCTGGTTCTTTCTCTTTTGGAAATTCTCCTATCATTCTCTTCCTGTGCCATGGGCTTGGGCTGCCCATGTTATAAATGGGGAAGCCCAGGCTCAGAGGTGGATCACGAAGCCTGACTTCCAGACCAGCGCTGTTGCTGCTGTTGCTGCTGCTTAGCTCCGTTCCCATGCCTGGCTGGGGTGAGGGTGAGGCAGGCGTGGAAGCTGCTGGAGCTTGTTGGTCTTGGCTGTTGGTCTTCACATCACCAGGAAGCAAAGGCATGGGGTATGTCAGGAGAAGCAATTATCGAACTTTCTGGAGCTTTGGTTTAGCCAAGGGCAGGAGCCCTCTGAGCGTCTGCCCCAGCATGAGGGGTGTGAACCCTGGGCAGTTAGCATCACTCTGTGCCAGCCCTATGCTGGGAGGACACTGCATGTGGCTGCTCAGTGAACCTTCACCTGCTGTTGAGGTTGGTTCCAGTTCATAGGGGAGAAAACCTGAAGCACAGAGATTTGTAAGAATCTGTCCAGGGTCACAGCCAGTAAGTGCCAGAGCCAGGACCAGATCCCAGCGCTGGTGTCTGCCTACAGCGGTGCGGCCTCCCTGTAACTAACACAGGTGCACAACAAGGAGAAGTGTGTGCTGCCAGAGCTCCCAACCTTAAGTGTGGGTCGGGAGAGTGAGGACTCCCTGAAGACATGGCAAGGAACTAAGACCTGCAGGCAGGGTGGAAACCCCGAGAAATGGGTAGAAGAGAAGTGCAGAGCAGCTGAAGGGGCACATGTACAAAGGTATGCACACTGGGACATTGCTTTAGCTTCCCTCAAATTCACCGTGCCTTTCCACCATGTTTTTTTAGAATAGGTCCCATCAGGAGACGCTTCAGAAGGGACAGCTCTTGGCAGTCCTCCTTGGCGACCCAGGCTACCAGCCCCACCATGACACCCCTGGGTCCCTCCACATCCTCTTCACATCCTTCTCACAGGTGGTACCCGACCCACAGAGTCAGGTGGTGCCCCCCAGCAGTCAGCACAGGGTTGGCCCGCCCCAAATGCTCAAGGATAAAAGCCAGATGAAGTCCTGGAAGTGGGACTACAGGTACCAAGGTGGTATAGAGAAAAGGCATAATTGGGTGCAGTTTAAAAAAATAGTCTTTTGTCATACTACTCCAAGTCAGGGTTCCCCAGCCCCTGGGCCGCAGGCCATTACCCGACTGTGGCTGTTCAGAACCAAGCCACAGGGCAGGCATGAGCAGTACAAGGGAGCAAAGCTTCCCCTGTATTTACAGTGCCCTCCGTGACTCACGTGGCCACTTCCTGTCACACTGGCTGCGCCATCGATTCCCACAGGAGCGGGATGTCATGTGAAAGTTCTAGATCCACAGCTCCTGGGGGGAGTCTGGTGTAGTAATGATAGAAGTAAAGTGCAGAGTGCAGTAGTGATAGAGATGGGCTGTGCGCTGTAATAATACTAGAAATAAGTACACAATGGATGTAACGCACTGAATCACCCGCACCCCACACCCCACCCCTAGTCTGGAACAGTTGTCTTTCATGAAATATTATATTCATCCCCGGTGCCTAAAGTTGTTTTTCCTTCCCTCCTTTCATACTGGGGATCAAATCCAAGGCCTTCTCACTGAGCTACATCCCCAGCCACCACCCTTCTTTTCAGACAGGGTCTTCTAAATCACTGAGTTGCCCAGACTGAGTTCAAACTCATGATCCTGCTGCCCCAGGCTACCTGAGTGCCACTGTGCCTGGCTTATAGCTTTGCTTTTACTACCCTGGCAGAGCCACTGGACTCAGCTGACCTGAATGCAACCAGGCCAGCCCAAGACCTGTGCGAGAGGGGGCCCAGCTTTTCTTGCTCACCAGGGTCTTTCTAGCTGTGGTCCACAGCATGCTAGGAGGTTGTAGAATCAACTCAGTAGATGATGAGCAGATTTAAATAATGAAATGCAGTAGAAATTGTCAGCTGGCTTTGCACGCAGGGAGAATAAAGCTTGTTTCAGTTAATGCATTTACATGAAACAGGGTTGTTCTAGAAAACTCATTTCTTACACAATTAAAAAAAAAAAAAGCATTTGAGCATTGTAACCTAAAAGTTTTTAGGTTAGCATGAACCAAAAACCTGACTCCTAGTAATACACAGTATCAGCAAATATTGCCAGGCATGACAGTGTCTGTGTCGTATTTTTTGTTTTTATTATTTTTGATGCTGGGGATCAAACCCTGGGCCTTACACATACTAAGCGAGTGCTGTCCCACTGAGCTGCTCCTCAGCCCTAGACATAATGACATTAGGAAAGCGCTGACGTTTTTAAGCAGACCACCTAACTACTAACTACTGGGTGAAGTCTGCCAGGTACTCGAGTGCTGAAGCGGACGTACTGGAGTCTGCTTATAGTCTGTCACTGTCCCAGGAGGAACGCCTGGAGAAGGACAACCAGACACAGCTGGCGGAGCCTCAGCTTGAGTTGAACCTAAGCCTTGTTTCTTCCTCTTCCCTCTTTTGTGTACTTATCACTTGCTAGGTTTGCACAGTACCAAAACGGTGGAAGGAATTGTTCTAAGAAATCACCACCCAACCACTCCACAGCCAGTGCTGTTCACTTTGGGGCGATCCCGCAGTGTTTTGTGCCAAAATTTTTCCCCCCCAGTGGCTGAGATAAATTTGGATCTGTAACTTATATCCTGCTTTTTTTGTTGTTTAACATGAAATATGTGCAGCTACCACTTAAAAAGTACTTTAATATAATAGATTTGCAAAGGTATACAAAAAAACATTTATTCCGAAACCCCCTCCTTGTTGATATATAGATATGTAGAAATAGTGCTGCAGTAGACAACTCTGTGTATTATTTGTGTAAGTTTCTACTTATCTCCCCAGAATAGATGTCTGAAATAGAAATCACGGAGTCAAAGAGCCAGGCTCAAGGTATATGGATGTCTTTCTGAAATTCTTCCAGAAAGAGTCAGTGAATTTCTGCTGCTGTGGGTATGAGAGTTCACATTCGCAGTCTTGCCAGTATTGAGTTCCGTCAGCTGGGAGTTTTGTGGTACTGGGGATTGAACCCAGGGCCTTTGCATGGCTATGTCCCTGGCTTGTTTATTTGTTTGATTAGAGACCAGGGCTTAGTTGAGTTGCTAAGTTTCCCAGGCTGGGCTTGAACTTGCAATCCTTCCCTTAGTCGGGTTTTTAATCATTATTAATTTGAAAGGCTAAAAGAATGTGCCTGGTTTTAATTTGCATCTCTTTAAATGCCAGATAGATTAAACGTTTCTTCTACATTTAATGGCCTTTCTTTTTTGCTTTTGAGAATTTGTGGGCCAGTCCTTGGAAACTCAGGGACTTCTAAAGGGCAGTTATGATCATCCCCTTTGGTCATTTGTGCTGCAGGGGGCAATTTTGGCTTTAATCACCTATGGCCCCCCTCCTAAGGTTAGGAGGCGCCAAGCATGGAAACCCTGTGTTCCTGGACCTCACTTCTCAAATGACTGAGGTGAAGGTGGCATTTAGCAATAAAAGCACAGGGCACTGTCGTAGTCCTTCCATTTATACTTTCCAGTCCTCTGAGCCTGCACTGGGCCACCCCATTTATTATCTCAGCTTGAACTTGAAGGTGGCCCCAGCAGGTTACATTACCCCTTTTCACAGACACAGAGGCTCTGTGGAATGGGGACACATGAGGGATGCTGCCGCCAGTCACTGGGGGAGCAGGACTTTGGGTCCTCTGCCTTGTGTTTGGTGCTCTCACCTTCCCTGCAGCCTTCCAGTTTGTATGTGGAACGCAGAAGGCATTTTGCAGCTTATTTAAGATTGTTGGCAATGACTGACACGAAGGGTGAATGCGACTGTACTTCTGGGGTCTAGCAGATCTCAGCAGTGCACGGAGTCCCCGTATTCAGCAGCTCTGGGAGGGGCCCTCTCTGGTGGGGAGTCCATGGGGTGAAATGAAGTTTGATGTCTGTGCTCAATCAGTAGGGTTTTTTTCTTATTAGTCTTAGAAAACAATCTGCCAAAGGCTATACATACTTAATTTGCTTTTTGTTTTGACAATGTTTAGTTATTAACTTAGAAAATAAATGCTTCATCCACACTGCTGTCCTCTGAGGGCAGGATCTGCCTGCCTCCTGCTACCTGAAAGGTACACTCAGCAGCAGCCATCAGAGGTACTACTGTTATTATCCCTTTTTGTAGATGGGGAATCCACGCCACCCAGTTAGTAAATGGTAGGATTTGAGCCCAGGCTGTTTGATTCCAGTCTGGTTTTTTTTTGTTTGTTTGTTTTGTTTTCTTAAAAATATATTTGGCACAGGGTTTCACCACGTAGCTTGGACTCTAGTGATCCTCCTGTTTTCAGTCTCCTCAGTGCTGGGATCGCAGGTGTGCGCAGTCATGCCTCGTCTCAGTCATCAGCTCACTGTGCCTGGGGCCAGGGCCAGTGTTGCGTGTGGTGCCAGGGATCAGACCCAGGTCCCTGTGCTTGCCTAGGCAGGTGCTTGGACTGCTGAGCTATCTCTGTGTTCCCCCAGTCTGTTCCTAATCTTGCTGCATTGCTACTTCTCAGTGAAGCAGCCAGCATCCACCTTTTTGTTCCATTTCAAAATATGGGGGTTGGATGAGCATCTGTCAAATTTTCTGGAAATCAGAGCTAGAAAGATGTACAGAACTAGGCAGGTTGAGCCTGCCCTCTGGACCCTGCCCACCTTGTCCAGGGTTTGAATCCTTGCAGGCAGGGTCCCAAACCAGCCCTGTGAGTACTGGGGGAACTTCTGACTCAGTACATTTTTATTAAAACTGATACTCTTTCAATTAGGACATTTATTTCCCCCAAGACACTCATGAGCTTTTCAAGTGAGTTGAGCATTAAGCATACTGCATCAGTTGAACTCATGGTTTAAAAAGATTTAACAAGACTTTCTATGTCTGTTTTCAATCTCCTCCACAGGGACGCGAAAGACAGATTTTACAGGAAACCATTCACAACTTCCACTCATCCTTCGAGAGCAGCGCCAGCAATACCAGGGCCCCTGGCAATAGTCCCTGTACATGATCCACCTCGCTGTGGCCACCAGTGTGAGTTCTCTGGGTACAGGTACCCCTTCCTGTAGTCAGGGACCAAGCCTCTGCTCCCACCAGATGTGCCGTGTTTGTCACCCCACTGTGGCTGGTCCCTTTGTTCCCTGTCGGGGTCCCCCTCCTTCCAGTCCCAGTAGTATCAGTTGGTAAGACTGTGCTGCCAGCCTCCCACAGGAGGAGCCTGGTACTATCTGAAGAGGCAAGTCAGGTGCTTCTGGTGGGCACCTAGTTTCACACAGTGCCTCAGGAACTCAGCTCTGTTGCTCTTGTACCCTGCCATCCCAAATAGAAAAGGAAAAGGATAATGGAGACAGCCAGCACAGCCTCTTTTTAACTGCCTTGCCCTTAGCTGACACTTTACCCTGTTGTTCCCATTCCATTGGTCACTCATTGTCACATGGCTCTACCTGATTGCAAAGGAGGCTGGGAAATGTAGTTTCCATTCATATGCTTTTCAGCAGTGCTCTAAATTTAGTAATGGAGCAATCTGATGAAAGGATTGCTCCCTGACATGTCGTGCCCTAAAAAGCTCTAATTTGACTCTCATGGCTCAAGTCACCTCTTAGAGGAAGCCTTTCTCAGTGCCATTACACAGAACTTGTCCTCCTAGCCATGGGAATCCCTCCATGCTTTATATATTACTGCTTTAGACTTTGCTGCATCTACTGCATACAGTATGCATCAGGTATTTGGGATGTATGTCTGTACATTTTTTAGTTCAAAGGCAGCATTCATATAGGAGAGAAAGGAAGACTCACTGTGTGGATCTCTCCTTTCTGGCCTGCAGTTTCTCTACCTGAATGGTATGTGGTCAGGCAGAGACAGAGCTACAGGGCTCCCTGCTGCTCCACTGGGTCGCAGGGCCTTCTGCCTTGCATGTAGGAGCTGGAGACTAAGGTACCACTTTGTGAAAAGAATCCAGTGCTCAGATTTTCCAGGCAAAGAAATCTGTAGAATCTGGAACTTCTTCTGGGATATGTTCCTCAAAAGTGAACAGACCATTCTACCATGTTCACTTTCTACCATGATAGATAGACCCTAACTTTTAAATCCCTTTTGTTTTGTCGGTTCCAGGGATCAAACTCAGGACCTTGCATTTGCCAGGCAAGCACTTACTCCACTGAGCTATCTCTGTGACCCATGAAGTCCCTATTGTATACACTTGCTGCCAGGTGTGTGCAGATGAACCAGAGCTATTTCCACTCTGGAAGATCCGGACAGGCAGGAGAAGACTTGTGTACACGTGGCCCCAGCCTGGAGGGGCAGCAAGGCAGTTGGGAGGAGCCTGTGCTCTTGGTGCAGGCTCAGGGCTCAAATCCAGCCTCTTCCTGGCCAGTGATATGGCAGCGATGTTTCCTCAGCCTCTCTTAACTGGAACTGGGAGGCTGAGTGCATCAAGCACCCCAAGAAGCACCCAGCAGATGGTGGCCTAAGAACTTTGGATTAGGGATATAGCTCAGTGGCATAAGCACCTGCCTGGCAAGCCCAGGGTCCTGAGTTCAATCCCTGGTACTAAAAGAAAAAAAAAAAAAAACCCAAACCTAGAATCCCTTTCATGAGCCATGTCCACCATCTCTCATCTGTCTCCCTGGCTGTGAAAGCCAGTGCCCTGCAATCCTCTTGTCTCTGCTTACACTGAAAAAAAAAAAAAGGCACATCCCTCCGCTGGCTAGGTGAGGTAGTTGTCACCACAGTGCCCAGAGCCTCACAAATGCCCCTTTGCCTGCCTGCCTAAGGGCCTCTTCCGCCTCATCCTCTATTTGCAGAACATGTTCCACAGACTGAAGGTGAAGCATTTCATTTGAGCCATATGGACAGACATTGTATGAAGGGTCCCCAGTGTTCCTGAAGGGAAACATGCTTAGGAAGCACCTACTGTGTGCCCAAGCTTGACCACATGTTCCTGCATCCTTATGACCACTCTGGAGGTGGCCTTGTTGAACCTTTTTCTGTACATGAGGAAAGTAGGGGTGAGCAAGCTGCCTGCCAGTTGGGTGGTCCTGGAGGCACAAGGCTGGCCTTGGAACTAGACCCAGCCTTTCCCTTCAGCCCATACACCCCAGAGCCAGATACCTCAGTGATCCTGACTGTTCTAATCTACAGATGCCCTCAGGGGTCACCCACAGACCTGGAGTTTATCCCAAAGTGTATGGAGTACTTTGAAACTTTGTACTGTCATTATTTTTCCCCATAATTGGCAGGTAGATAAGCTTAACTGAACACCTGAGAAACATGGAGCTTTTCTGGGGTCAGCGCTTTGTGCATGCATACCTCCACGACCCTGTCAGAGGACCCTGGAAAGAGCATGCAGGAGACCTGAGGTCCTGGATACTGCCCCTCACCTGTCTTTTTCCTGAACTCTAGTCGCTTTTCCTCTCAGGTAGTTTGTGTGCTGGTTGGTTAGAAGTCCCTGACACCTTTTCTGGGCCTTGGTCGCCTTCCTATGGACCTGCCTATACCTAGCCTGCCTCCTGGAGGTTGTCCTTCTCCACAAGAAATGTTCCCTTCAGCCAGGGATATAGCTCTGGCACAGTGCCTGCCTAGCAAGCACAGTTTGTTTGATTCCTGGTACCAAAAAACAAACAAACAAACAAACAAGTGCCTCCCTTGCTTAGTGACCTTCACAGGAGATTCCTAAGTGTTCTCTTCAGAGCAGTAGCTCCACTGGATGTTATACATTTTTCATAAAGGAAATGAAGGGGTGTGTAAGTTGGTTAAGGGTCCATGTTCAGGTAAATACTGAATTAAAGCCAAGACAGGGCCCTTGCTGGGGCGGTCTCGGGCCTTCAGCCCAGCCCTCTTTACAGGACACGTAATGTATAGCGTTTCTCACCTGTGTCTTCTTCAAGATGTTCTTGCAAGACTGGGTCCTTGCAGCATTGCTGGGGAAATGTGGCCTTATCTACAACAGTGGCAGCGGGGACTCAGCCAGGGCACTGTCCTCAGGAACTGCCACTTCTTTCTCCAGCAGGTGTCCTCAAAAGTGGCCCAGTTAGCAATGGGTTGCAGAGGGGAGAGGTCTCCTGACTAGAAGGGTTCTCTGTCCTGGGCATCTCTGCATGTTTGCTCAGCTTCTGCAGCATCTGCTGGGTGTCCAGGCCCCTGCTGGCCAGGGCAATGCTCCACCTCCCTGCCTGCATGCCAGAAGGTGAGGCGGGGCCAGCTGGTCTCACAGGCAAGAGTGCCTCTTTTTTCATTTGTGGAATATGCACTGAGCATTACCCCCCAGACGAGCCTACACATGTGCTCTGGATCCATACGTGTGACATCCTGGTGCTGTGGAGACCACACGCTCCTGGAGACCAGTGTGTAAGCAGGGCAGTGAGAGCCATGTGCCATGTCGTGCAGGAGCAGTGCGTGCGAGGGAGGGGCATGACACAGGGACCATACTGCACAGCACTGCTAAGGCCGTGTATAATCTCTGTGCATTAAGTGCCATCAGGACCAGGAGGGGTAAGTTAGAAGCTTGTTTCATTTTCTTTGAAGTTTGTAGAAGCAAGTGTTCCCCTAGTAGGAACACTGGAGCAGGTAGTGTCAGACTTAGTGTTGCTTTTGACCCAGCCCCTTCTCAGTGGGTAACATGGAGCATATTCCCTCATCTCCCCCAAGTCTCAGTTTACCTCCTGGCTACGAGAGCATAGCTTTCCCCAAGATTCGGAGGATCAAATTAGGTCAGGAAAACCCTTCAGCAGCAGAGCTATGTGTATGTCAGGTCTTCCAAAGATAGTTGCATATTTTGCGTTAGTCTCTCTCCCTCTTTCTCCCTCCTTCTGTCCCACCTACACTACAGCCATGGCTGATGCGGTCAAGCCAGAAGAAGCGGCCTGCAGCAAGAGGTAATAGCAGCTTGGATGGTTCTGCCAGCATCCAGACCATGTGGAAGCCAGGATTGGCCATGGATTCCTGTCCTCAGCTGTTCCTGTCCTCAGCTGTTCCTGACCTCACATATTTGTGTTGATGGGATTCACACCAAGGTGGACAGAAAGAAGGAAGGCTGTCTGATCAAATTCTGGAGGCTGATCCAGCAGGGGGCAGTGAGCAGCCCCTCTCCCTTTCCTTTGTTCCTTCCTCAGAACTGCCAGAAGGCGTCTGGCAGGCCAGGCCTGAGGCTAGGTGGCCACAGACACCTCCTGAGCTGTGCTTCCACGTCAGGTGCCACATGCTGTACCTAGGGTCCTTCCTGCAGGGTGGAAGAGGGTGGGTGATGCCTGCAGAAGATGAAGTGGTGAAGTGGAGCACCTCTGTGGCTGCCCTTGTCCATTTCAAGCAAGTTAATCATGTCTTATGAACCATCAGAGAGACCTGGTGTTTTCTCTAATAAAGTCGATGCCCAATCCTGCAGGGCTGGCTGGAGAGGACGACTCTCCTCCGGAGTTGGGGGCTCCCTTTCCCTTAGAAGTTTGCATGTATTCCCCAGGTATTTCTTGAGGGCTTGCTAACCTCTGCTGGTTCAGAGGGCTCTGTTTGAACTCTACCTTAGTATTAGCTCCTCAACTGAGAAATCAAACCCAGAGGGACAACAGTTCAGTAGATCTTGGGGGTGGCACAGGAAGTGGTGAGAGATCAAAGCCCAGTCCACTTGTCTTTAGTCATTCCCACTTCACTGTAGCCAAAACTACAACTTGCTGCCCCCAGGGCTCCCGGTTCACCTCCATCATAGGGTCCCTCCCAGGCTCCTGCTTGCTGTAGGGACCCATCTCAGCCCCAGGCATGGCTGTCTTTCTTAAGGAGACTGGGGTTTGGAGTAGGCCCTAAGCTGTCATCAAGGTCACTGGTAGAGGCTGATCCAGCAGGGGGCGGTAGGCAGCCCATCTCGTAGAGCATTTTCTGTCTTCCTTATGTCAGATACTTCTCTTTGTTGTTACTGTTTTTCCCAGAAGAAGTTGATTCTGATTTTTGCTTGCCAAGCTGCCTATATTAAATAATAGTGATTTTTTCCCTCTTCTCCGTTCTGTAAGTCACCTTGTCTCATCTTCACAATAACCCTGTGAGACGTAAAGTTCCCCACATGTCAGGCTAGCAGCTGTGGCATACCAATTGTAACTTGCTTCACCTACATCACAGCTCACAGATGCTTAGTTTGAATGCAAGTCTTCCCCAACTTCCACATTGTCTTTGTGATGTTTTGCCGCCTGTTGAAGAGAGTAACCCGGGCAACAACAAGGCAAACAAGTGACACTTTGTTATTTAGGTGCTGGTCCACAGTGCGGGTGGGCTGTACAGAATACCGTAAATAGCATGGAGGTTCACTTTCTTTTGAGAATTGGCCTCATCCTGGTCTTAGTTCCTCCACTAAAATACTCAGCCCCAGGATGGTTAGGATGGCTGGGAAGCAGATGGTTGCATCCAGGAGGTAGAGTGAGACCATGGACCTCAGAAAGCAGGGGGCAGCTCCCTATGAGGAATACTCTGGGCACCCACACTCCTGGGGAAGCAGCATTCCTGGTGGGGCCAGAGGCTGGCCAGACCCACCCTGGGGCCCTCAAGAGGGCAGTGGACCAGCGAAGTGGCTCCCACATGCAGTATCAGGTGGAGGGAGAAAAGCAAGTTGGAGCAGCTAGTTTACCTGACACTGAGCTGGTTTGTTTCTTTTTCTTTTTCTTTCTTTTTAGAGTTGGCCTCGATTCTGAAAAGCCTTGCGCTAGCTTAGGCAGAGCATGTACTAAAATTGGAACGATTCTGACAGAGTCCCTCCTACTTGGGAGGGCAGGGTGCAGTGATAGTGGCTTTCTCCAGAAGTGTGAGAAACGCTGACTGGGTCACCTGTGAGATCCCATCCAGCCCAGTTGCTGTAGGGAAACAGTAGGACCCCATTACCCAGAAGTTACAGCCAGAGTGTGCCCAGAGGACATGGAAATAGCTATTCACCAAAAGCTCAAGCTGGAGTGTTCAGAGAAGCATGGTGCGCAGGTGGCAAACATGGAACTAACTCAGAGGACCATCGGGATGAATGGGCAACTGCTGTGGCTTGGGTGAACCTTGAGAACATTATGCTAAGGGAAAGAAACCAGACACAGATTCTACATATTTTATGACTCCATTGATGACGAATGCCCAGGACGGGCAAATGCACGGATGTGGAAAGCGCATCAGTGGCTGTCTGGGGCTGGGCTTGGGAGGATGACCACTTCGTAGGTGAGGACTTCTCCTCGAGGGGCTGGAAAGGCTAGCATTAGCTTTTGTGATGGTGGTGCGAGCAAGTGAATGAACTCAACACCTTTGAATGGTGGGCTTCACCGTGGCCAGAATGGTAAGACTCCTGTTAACCTCATACTAGAGAAGAAAGCAGGGGGCTCCTGGTAGGTGGCTTTTCCTGCCTTTGCACTCAGTCATATACTCCCTATCCCATCTTTCTCTTGTCCTTCCATTGGTGCAGTGACAGGGACTTACATACAGGACATGCCACAGAGGGCTGTTCATGTCATTGAAAGCGCTAAAATGTTCGCCATCACTGGTATAGTCCTTTCACCTGCGTGTGTAACCCCCTTTGTTCCAAGGCTAGATAAACTGAAGGTCTCAAGCCAGTATCCCCAGAAAACGCTTCACAGATGAGCCAGATTGAGGTGGAGCTGCCCGCCCTGGGCCTGGGGTGGAGGGCAGGCCCCTTCTAAGGTCAGAACTTTCGCAGAGTCTCTGGCCATCTACATGCTGTGGCCTCCTGCAGCTTCTCTGGATCTCTCTCTTTTTTTTCTTGTTAATGCGGCTCCACACCACTTGCTTGGGCTCTTTCAATGGAGTAATTGTCTCTACTTTCGTCACAATGGAAATCGCTCCTGGCAGATGGGTGTTCTCAGCAGCCTGAGATTGGCATGGACACCACTCACCCATGCACCCAGGACCGCCTCAGGAGCAACTGCAGCTCCTGTGCCCCAAAGTCCCGGCCTCCTCAGTCTGTCCACTCCCAGCCCCACTTTTCCACTGCTGCAGGTGGCCCTCCTCAGACTATGACAGATGCCAGGCTGCAGGCTGATCTCCACCTCAGGCCTCACCTGGAGGCTGCCCCCTGGCTGTGACAAGGGCTCTCCAGAGGGCGAGGCTGTGTGCACATGAAGGGGAGCCAGCAGTGAAAGACCTCCCCACAGAGGTGACAGCAGCTTCCTGAGCAGCTGCAGGCTCAGGCTGACTCCCCAGTGCTGGGCGGGGCTGAGAGAGGGCAGAGGACCTTCCCCGGGGATTTGCACCCCCCAGAGTCAGCCGGTGGAGGGTGGGCTGCAGCCTTTCTTAGGCAGTGGGTGACCATCCCCGGATGCCAGTCACACGCACTGGGAGCAACGCCCTGCTTTGCTGTGCTGCTCTGAAGTAGAGCAGTCCTGGATCGGGGCTGATGTGAGGGTGAGCAGTGCCCCTGCTGAGCACACAGTGCCACCGCAGCCCTTCCCTGCTGTTCTCGCACCGCACTGAGTGGTCAGGCCTTGTGTGCTCCTTGCCACCAACTGCGATGCCAACTCAGCCCTACCGTTTGACCTCTGCTAGAGCTGGTAGCAGTTAGAGGAGCTGGGTGAAGGACCTTTGACAAGGGCCAGGGCTGCACTGGCCAGATTTATTGCAAGATTGAATGGAAAATCTTTGTTAATTGGATAGCAATTAACTTAGTGCACATAATCCAGTTTACAAACCGCAATCATATAAAGAAAAAGAATACAGGCCAAAGAATACAGGAGCTGGACATTGTGCAGCATGCCTATAATGCCAGCTGCTGGGGAGGCTGAGGCAGGAAGATCACAAGTTCAAGGCCATCCTGCACAATTTAGCAAGACTTTGTCTCAAAAAATAAAAAGGCTAAGGTGGTAGCTTATTGGTGAAATGGTTGCCTACCAGGCATGAGACCCTGGTTTAAATCCCCAGCCTCTAGCAAAAAAGTAAAAAAGAAATGATGAAAAAAATAAAATGGGAAAATGGAGGAAGGGTCAAGAGGATGAGACACAGTTTTTTAGGCTCATATAGCAGCTCTACCTTGACCTACTTTCTGTCATGAGCTTAGGCCATTTGGCATTTCTGCGTCACAATTGACTTTTTAAATTATAAAGTTAATTGTTATTTTGAGGAATTGTGTGGATCATCTCAGAGAGCATATTTTCTCCTGTAAGATGTAACACATTCATGTTTTTGTGTGCATTGAGAGTCCCAAGATCAGGCGTAGTGTTCATCCTCCTGGGGAGGTCCAGGAAGGGCTGGAGGCCCAAGGGCCCCTCCTGACAGAACTGCCACCCCTGTGATGAGGCCTGCTCACATCCCAGCCAGCTCTCCCAGCTTCCTGAGCCTCCTGCTGAGGTGGACATGCCCACTGTGCAGTGGACCACAGACACCGTTTGCACAGTGCTTTCTGACCTGCAGCCTGGGGACTCAGAGTGTAGTGCACCGACTGGCGGCCTGGTGCTGCCAGATCTCTCAGAAATGCACACCTGCAGAGTCCTCCGAGAACGTGCACCCGCCCTGCAATGTGAGAGGAGATGGGCACCCTGGTGCACTACCTGTGTCCTGGAGGAAGAGAGCTCCGCCAGCAGAACAGCCCCCAGTGCCATGCAGTTGGGGGGAATGCGGGCCTCATTTCTCCCTTCAGACTCAGCTCTCACAGGGGATCACAGGCAGACCTTGGCCAGGGTCTTCTCCTTCCATTATCACTGTGCACTTTACCGATGAACCCAAGGCAGAGTTTTCCCTGAAGATCCAGGATCAATCTAGAAGAGCCAGTTTATGTATGGTACTGACCAGCTAAGAAATACAACCCCAGTACTCAGACTAGGGCATCCTGAGTCCCTGTCCTGGCATAGTGATCCCCAGGTGAGAGCTAGAGTCCTAACATCTGGGTAGGGGAACTGCTGTCACCACGGAAGGCTGAGAGGACAACTGCTTCATCCCTCAGGCCTTAGTTTCCCATCTGTCAAATGGAGAAACAAAAAGTGCTCTCTGGCAAGGCAGAGGTGAGGAGTAAATGAAGGATTAAACCCTGGAGCATGGTGCAAACTTTAAAATGTTGTGCACATGTTAATCAGCGTCGTTCTTCTCCAGGGCCCCTGACGCAGTGGTGGAAGGGGAAGAAGCCTAGAAACCGAGGAAGTTGCAGTAGGTGGAACTTCAGGGTTGCCATGGGAACCAAAGCTCTGAGGCTGATCAAGGCAGGAAATACCATCTGGTTTTAAACACCAAAAAGCCTCAACTCACACTGGACTTATTTCTGTAAACAGCAGAATTAACATCATCCTCCAGCAGCTACGTCATCCCAGAGCAATCTGGGGATTACCATCATTCACCTGATGTCAGGGGTTAGAGCTGCACATAGCCCCTCATCTGCTGTCACATCCCCTGAAAGGTGGACGAGTCACTTAGTAAGTCTGAGCTCAGATGGAAGAAAACCACCGACACCCCTTCCCAGGTTTTGCAGACACAGAGGAAAGGCTGGAGTGGTGACCAGGGACAGTGGCAGGAGAACCTGGGGTCCCAGCCTGTGCCAAAGCTGGAAATGCACAGCGAGAGCATCCTGTCTTCTTGATTGAAAATTACCCGTGTTGTTAAAGGCCTAAGTGGGACACTGTTTGCCCAACATCACAGAGATCGATGACAAAACCCAAACTTGCCCGAGTCTCAATCCTACGCTGATGCTTCCTGCGCTTTTCCAACTGCATCTTCCTCTTATTTGTTTCAGCATCACAGTCTTGCTTCCTGGGAAACACTAGGCTGGGGATTTCTCTGGCTCCCCATGGGCTCTGTAAGTCAGAAGCAGAAAGCTTCCTGAGTCCTACATCTCCCAGGAATGTGACACAGGAAGCCAGTGTTGCTGTTGTTTTCTCAGGAGAAAGGAAGCCTCTGTAAACCACA